TGGAGCAGAGCGGGCTGTGTCCACGTCTGCTCTGCATAAGTGGAGCGGACGTGGACTGGTCATCCACCTGCACTGCTCTTCTCAGCAGGGGATCACCAGGCAGATCCCTCAAACAAGATAAAAATGGATTCTACCACGTGTGAATGGGGCCTACCACAGACTGGACCCTGCTGCTGCCTCTCGCCTTGTGATAAAATGTTAGTCTAATTACTGGCGGAGAGGAGACTGAGTAAATGCTTTTTTTCCTGCATGCAGCAGACTGATGACATCCTCTAAGGCTAGGCAAAGTCACTTCCTGGAGCTTGAGAATTGTTTTTTAATGATAAACGGAGTTTTTCTGAGACATTTATACTGTTGCATTATATTGTGATCTGTCTGGAATGTGGAGACTGACAAGTCTAATTTTAACCTTGTTAACAAAGGTGACACAGAGTACCTCAAGCAGGGTGGTTGGCGCTGTAGTCTTTATGCTTTTCCTTGACCTCTCTGCAGCCTTCGACACAGTCGACCACCCCCTCCTCAAAAAAAACTACACTCCCTCAGCCTCAGAGATTCTGCTCTCTCCTGGCTCTCATCCTACCTGTCACAACGCTCTTTCAGCGTTACCTATAATGCTACCACCTCCCCCTCACTCCCCCTCTCTGTTGGGGTCCCTCAAGGCTCTGTCCTCGGGCCCCTTCTCTTGTCCATCTACACCTCCTCCCTTGGCCAACTCATTCACTCTCACGGGTTCAACTACCACCTATATGCTGACGACACACAAATCTATCTCTCAACCCCCCACCTCACCACCTCAGTCTCCGCCTGAATCACACACCTACTGAGCGACATATCAGACTGGATGTCACTCCACTTCCCTAAACTGAACCTCTCCAAAACCAAGTTTCTTGTCTCCCCCCCCCCCCCCCCACCCCCCCCCCCCCCCCCCCCCCCCCCCCCCCCGCCCGGACACCACCCCCACTTACTTCTCCATCACATCCAACAACACCACCATCAAACCCGCCCCGCAGGCCAGAGTACTTGGTGTCATTCTGGACTCCAACCTATCCTTCCAGCCCCAAGTCCAATCTTTAACAAACTCGTGCAGACTCCACCTCCGCAACATCGCCAAAATACGCACGTTCCTAACTCCAGAAACCACTAAACCGCTCATCCACTCCCTCATCATGTCACGACTCGACTACTGCAACTCCCTCCTCACTGGCTTGCCTCGCCGCTGGCTATTTCCGCTTCAGTCGATCCTGAATACGGCTGCCAAACTCCTTCACCTTTCCAACCGCTCCATTTCCGCCACCCCCCTCTGCCAATCCCTCCACTGGCTTCCGATTGCGCAACGAATCAAATTCAAAATCCTAAACTGACATACAAAGCTGTCCATCAGACTGCCCCAAACTACATCACCGACCTAATATCCAAGTACCGCCCAGCACGCACACTCCGCTCTTCACAAGACCTCCTTCTCTGTAGTTCCCTGGTCTCCTCCTCCCATGCCCGCCTCCAGGATTTCTCCAGAGTGTCACCCATCCTCTGGAACTCCCTGCCCCAACCCATCAGATTATCACCTACTCTCCTCTCGGCGCACCCTGAAAACCCATCTCTTCAGGGAAGCCTGCTAACCTGCCGACCTCCTCCACTCTTCCTACCACTCCATCCCCCACAGCTATCTCCTCATGTACCACCATCCCCTCCCTCCTAGATTGTAAGCTTGAAAGAGCAGGGCGCTCGATCACCTCATGTTTTGCATTGTATTGGTATTGTTCTGTCACATGTTCTGTCCCCCTTTTGTAATGTACAGTGCTGAGCGAACCATTGGCGCTTTATAAATACTGTATTATAATAAGGCTTCATCGTTGTGTTGAGAATTAGTGATCATGTCCTGGCAGCCATACAGGGGATTATAGGGTAATTCTATATGTCCTTTGCCAACTGTGTGGGACTTTCCCAAATAATAGGCACACTGTTCAGGTATGTCAGGCTTAATCTATCATGCTGTGCCCATTTCACTTTGCATACACAAGAGGAAACCTGACCGTCCCTCTGATGAAAGTTTCCCAGTTGCTTGCTTTTTTTTTTTTTTTTATAATTCTCCGCAGTAGCTTGCACACTAAAAACTAGACATCCGTACATTCTTTATTTAGTTATCCCATTCCCCCACCCTCTTACATTCTTTTATGACCCCATGTCTGTGCAGTAATGTGTCCTGGAAAGACCACTCTAAAATGCTTGATATTAAAGACCATGGAAAGTGCTACTTGCAGCAACCTCATAAAATGGAGCAGGCAGGATTGTATTGCTGACTGTGTTATTGTTTTGGAGAGATTTACCCTTTTTTACATGTGTAATGGTGACCACACAGGAAATGAGTGAACATCTATATAATAAAGACACCAGGCCCAGACTGGGACAAAAAAAGAGGCCCGGCATTTTGAACTGAGCAGCCCAAAGCCCAGGGACCCTTTCCTCGGAGCCTAGTGTCAGTTGGTTTTTTTTTCCTATTAAATTCTTTACAATTTTATATATATTATTTTATTTATTTTTTTCTGTAGGAGGAAAGGAGGGAAAGAAGAGAAATGAGAGAAACAGGAGACAGAGAGAAGGGGGGGGAGAGAAGACAAAAGGCTAGCTTGAACTAGTGTGGGCGAGGCAGACACAGGAGGAGGGGCAGCTTTCTCTCTCCTCTCCTGTCTGTGGTGGGTGGGGAACTGTCAGTACTGCTGACTGATCCCCTGCAGTGCTCCAGGGGATAAAGGGGGGCCCCCCAGGGAAACATACAGGTGCCCAGGTCAGCCAGCCTGCAGGAGATGGATAGGAGAGGCAGTTGGGCAGAACATAGAGGAACCGAGAGATGCACGGTCCTCATGTGCCTCCGGCCGCATCTCCTGGCCAGGTGGCCCCGGCCCTCCAGGCAAATGCCCCGTGTGCCCTATGGCCAGTGCGGGCCTGGAAGACACTGACAGTAATAGAAACTTGGATAAAGTTGTAAAAAGATTGGAAGCTTTGTCAACACTTAAAATCCTAAATTTCACTAAGGAGTATGTGTGTCTCGAATCTATTATATCTCATTGACTACAATATATGACTACATTTGTCCCCTAAACCTTGGTTGGAATTAGTGATGAAGAAGCTGTGTTTGTCCTCTAAAAAGGACACTAGGAGAAACTGCACACCCAGCTGTACCCACCACTTTGTCTTCTGCTAAGTTCACACATATGCGATTGGTGTGGCTCATGTTCTCATGGGCACAGCAGTGCATTTTTCTGAGCAGGCTGCTGTATCTGTGGGATATGCATAAAAAAAAAAACCAGCACCCTTTTAAACTGCAGTCACATGAAATTGCATGGCTCTTCTGCTGCATGCAGCTTCCCGCACCCATAAACACTGAGTTTTCAGATGCATGACAGTGCCATTATGAATTAATGGAACCCACTGTGCTTCTGCTAAAAAGCTGAGTGTTTTGCCAGTGGGTGCAGGAATGTATGCAATTTACTTGATTTCTCTCAAATGCATATATGAAAACCTAGTGAAGTTTTAACGTTTTTGACATGGAGGATCCCTTGAAATAACTTTCTGGCTTCAATAATTATTTATATTTTCAGCTAACCGTACGTTTTGGTATGATTGTCATTGTAAAGAATGCTCCTTTAAAGTGTTACTAAACCCACAACAGTAAAATCAGTCTGTATATGCAGTAAATCATGCTTGCTATATTCACTGTGGAATCTAAGGGGTTAATCCTTCTCATTGTGTAAAAAGGATGTTTGATCCTCCTTTTTACTGTTCCAAATCCATCTGCCATAGTACAGAGCAGCAATGGTAAGTCTGCACATGCTCTGTTTGATGTGTATTGCTAGAGAAGGTTTTAATTTATTTATGTTTTGGAGAGTGCATGAGATCGCCACAGGGCCAATCCGTGCTGTCCAGACAGAGGGTGAGGGGTCATGCAGCCTCAAAGGACAGTCAGAGGAGAATGAAAACTCTTCCTACAAGATTAACCAGTGCTTGGCCGGACACTGGTAGAAGTCACAAGATTGCTATATACTGCTGATGAGAAAAGGTATTTTAGCAGTTTATATTTACTAAAATAATTGCGTTTCCATGTACTGTGGAAGACTGGATATAGAGAATGCAGAGTCATGGGTTTAGTAAGATTTAAATCTGTGCTCCATTGGGAAGAATTCCTCTTTTACAGATCGCTAAATGACCAGTGGTTTACTCATCTGAGAGGCAGAAATCACTCATTGAATGAGGAGCCCCTACCAGCCTCAGGAGGAACCCTAGGTTTCTACGAAACCCTGATCTAGTGTGTCTGTTTCCACCAGTTCAAGCAGGGCAGAAAATTCTAACCTTTTTTGACAGCATTCTTTCTTCCTGCTTAAAACCCTCACCACCCCAAACCGAATTCATGATGTATGCAGCACTGCACACCCATCTAAAAGTGTTTGTTATAAGTCTTTTGTAAAATATCAAGCACATTTTGTTAAACTTGCATTTTTTTTTTTTTTTTTTTTTTTTTTTCCTCAAGTGTTCCTGAGGCACTGGTGATGTATTCAGGGCCTCATACGTGCACCTTCTGAAGGGCACGTCACCAGTGCCTCAGGAAAAACTGGTCTGATCTCTCACATGCAGTGTATGTGATCTGGGGGTATGTATGTATATAAAATCGCAGTATCTCACAGAAGTGAGTACACCCCTCACATTTTTGTAAATATTTTCTTTTCATGTGACAACACTGAAGAAATGACACTTTGCTACAATGTGATGTAGTGAGTGTAAAACTTGTATAACAGTGTAAATTTGCTGTCTCAAAATAACTCAACACACAGCCATTAACCACCGCCCGCTCGCCATATAGTAATATGATGGACGCAAGGCCTCCCATTCTCACTGCGCATGTGCGGCTCAGGGAGCGCGCGGCGATCGGCGGTGCACTGTGTCCCTAGGACACAGCGGATCACCAATCACGAAAAAAGAGCCGAAGATGTCGGCTCGGTCATGTGATCAGCTGTGTCCAATCACAGCTGATTACATGTAAACAGGGAAATGCCGGTTATCGGCATTTCTGTCCTCTCTAGCTGTCACACTGACAGCTCGAGAGGAGAGGCGGTAATCGGCTTTCCACAGAGGGGACATGATCAGTGTAGCCCCAGCAGTGCCACCGGTCAGTGTCCATCAATACCACATATCGGTGCCTACCAGTGCACATCAATGCCACATATCAGTGCCCATCTGAGCTGCCTTTCAGTGTCACCCATCAGTGCCAGTCAGTGCCACCTATCAATGCCTATCAGTGCTGCCTTTCAGTGATGCCTGTCAATGCCCATCAGTGCCATCTATCAGTGTCCATCAGTTCCCGTCACTGCAGCCTCATTAGTGCACATCAGTGAAGGAGAAAAATCACTTATTTACAAAATTTTATAACAAAAACTAAAAAAAAAAGTTTTGTTTTTTCAGAATTGTCAGTGGTTTTTGGTTTAAGAAAAAATAAAAAAACCCAGAGGTGATTAAATACCACCAAAATAAAGCTCTGTCACAAAGGAAGTTATAAAAATTTCATATGGGTACAGTGTTGCATGACCCCCGCAATTGTCCCTCAAAGTGCGATAACGCTGAGAGCTGAAAATTGGCCTGGGCAGGAAGGGGGTATAAGTGCCCTGTAGGCTTGTGGTTAATGTCTAAAGTGCTGGCAACAAAAGCGAGTACACCCCTAAGTGAAAATTGTCCAAAGTGTCCTCTTCCACTCCTCCATGATGACTTCACGGAGTTGATAGATGTTAGAGACATTGCGCTCCTCCACCTTCCGTTTGAGGATGCTCCACAGATGCTCAATAGGGTTTAGGTCTGGAGACATGCTTGGCCAGTCCATCACCTTTACCCTCAGCTTCTATAGCAAGGCAGTGGTTGTCTTGGAGGTGTGTTTGGGGTCATTATCATGTTGGAATACTGCCCTGCGGCCCAGTCTTAGAAGGGAGGGGATCATGCTCTGCTTCAGTATGTCACAGTACATGTTGGCATTCATGGTTCCCTCAATGAACTATAGCTCCCCAGTGCCGGCGGCCCCAGACCATGACACTCCCACCACCATGCTTGACTGTAGGCAAGACACACTTGTCTTTGTACTCCTCACCTGGTTGCCGCCACACACGCTTGACACCATCTGAACCAAATCAGTTTATCTTGGTCTCATCAGACCACAGGATATGGTTCCAGTAATCCATGTCCTTAGTCTGCTTGTCTTCAGCAAACTATTTGCGGGCTTTCTTGTGCATCATTTTTAGAAGAGGCTTCCTTCTGGGATGACAGCCATGCAGACCAATTTGGTGCGGTGTATGGTCTGAGCACTGACAGGCTGCCCCCCCCCCCCCCCCGCTTCAACCTCTGCAGCAATGCTGGCAGCATTAATACATCTATTTATCAAAGTCAACCTCTGGATATGACGCTGAGCACGTGCACTCAACTTCTTTGGTCGACCAATGCGAGGCCTGTTCTGAGTGGAACCTGTCCTGTTAAACCGCTATATGGTCTTGGCCACTATGCTACAGCTCAGTTTCAGTGTCTTGGCAATCTTCTTACAGCCTAGGCCACCTTTATGTAGAGCAACAATTTTTTTCAGATCCGCAAAGAGTTCTTTGCCATGAGGTGCCATGTTGAGCTTCCAGTGACCAGTATGACAGATTGAGAGCAATAACACCAAATTTTAACACGCCTGCTCCCCATTCACACCTGTAACCTTGTAACACTAAGGAGTCCCATGACACCGGGAGGGAAAATGTATAATTGGGCCCAATTTGTACATTTTCACTTAGGGGTGTGCTCACTTTTGTTCCCAGCGGTTTAGACATTAATGGCTGCGTGTTGAGTTATTTGAGGGGACAGCAAATTTACACTTATACAAGCTGTACACTCACTACGTCACATTGTAGCAAAGATTCATTTCTTCAGTGTTGTCACATGAAAAAGATGAAATATTTACAAAAATGTGAGGGGTGTGTGTGCGCTATATATATATATATATATATATATTCCGTGTAAATTTTGCTGTCCCCTCGTACATCCCATACAGCAAGCAGATATTCTGACAGGTCTGCAGGAGACCTGCATGACATCAGCGATCTACTGATTGCTGGTGCAATGCTTTCCAGGCTCCTTTTGGACAAAAACAATAAATGAACTTTTTTTGCAGGTTAAAAAAAAAACAAATTTGCATTTTATTTTTTTTATAAAAGGTGAACTTATCCTTTAAGCTTAAAAAGGGACAAGTATACATGCTTAATAAAGACCATTCACACTAGTGCTTTGCGGTAACAGGGTTTGGTGTGCTACCTAAAATTCTACCAATTGGCTGTTCTGTTTTGTATGTTGCAAAACATTTGCATGCAATTCACTGGTCTTTGGTGCAGATTTTGCTGCTGGAATTTTATTAACTTTGCTCACCTAGGCAGAGGAGGATCTTCGCAGGTGGTTTCTGTAGGTCAGCCTTTCAGAGGGGGAAGGGGAGGAAGAATGCAATTCCTGTTTGTTGGGGGAATTTCCCAGGAGGGCCCGGGGCATATTTCTAATAGTGATGGCAGAATCTGGTGGCTTGGTGTTTGTGAATGCTGAAGATCTCTGTAAGTCAGGGGTAGGCAACCTTTTAAAGAGGTGGCAATCTACCTAAACAACATGGGAGAAGTCAAAGATCACTGGGCAAAGTGTCACCTCCTCACACCTGATTTAAACCTCTAATTGCTGTATTACCATGTCACAATCGTGTGCATTGCACTACAATCATGGGTTTAGATCAAGTGATGAGGCAACATCTCCTCACCACCTCTTAAACGCACTGGGATTGCTTTGCAGAGGAGCAGCAGTGCCTACTGCACCTGTGAATGAACCCTTAGTTGTAATCGGCAGGGCTTGTTCACATGTAAAGTTGGGGGGGGGGGGTGGTAAATCCCTGCGGTTGAATCATGGTTTTACCGCCTCCCAATCCCTAATCCCTGCTTCCCGATCCCTAATCCCTACCCCCTTTAGCTGATGAGGCAGCAGCCAAAGGTGTATATATGCTGCAGCAGGAATTGCACCCCCTGTTGCTTTTGGTGGATGCTACCACCTGTCACCTGCAACTGCTGCTTTTGCGGGGTCCAAGGGCTTAAAGCAGGTGGTGAGAAAGCAACACACTGCTGCCTGTTTAACCCCTTGTTTGCTGTACCGCACAAGGTTGCAGGGCAATTGCAGAGCGGCCTCATTCACCTAAATGGATCACGCTTGGTAGGTGCTGCACCCACCAACCATGGCAGGGCATAGGAGCAGCACTACAGAGGAGGCATCAATTTATGCAGCTAATGCTCCCTACTATGGCTCCAACTTTACAAGTAGTTCCTCTGCATTGCACTCTGATGCTCTGGGATGGCAGGTCAGCAAGTCCAGACTGAGATCTACCTGTCACCTGGTCAAGATCTACTGATGGATCACGATCTACTGGTTGTTCTAGGTCATCTTCATAGACATTCAGACAGAATTGTTTTGTGTGTATGTGTTAATGCATTGTGTTTAAAACAGCCTATTCAAATAGGCTGGCAACACCTCCAAATCTCCCAAGAAAACAGACCTGCACCACAACACAAAGTTGTGTATTACAGTTCATTGTAGTTTTCTGCAACATGTGCATTGGTGCTATGTTGAGGTAGTGTGTTGGCGTGCCAAATAAAATATATGCCACTGCAACAAGCTAATGTTCATAACCTGCATTAACACACAGTAAGTGTTTTCAGCCCTTAAATTTAATCTGCAAAATGTTGCCAAATTAAAGTCCAAAAAACTAATAAAAATGTGACACTGATGGTTACCACAGATACAGTATATGAAAGCATTCAGTAATATTCACAGCTTGAATGTCTAATGCTTAGGGGAAAAGAGGACTGCGTTCAGATGGCAATAATGACTGAGATCCGTTAGCGATACACATGGAGTTCACCAAACTCAACTGTTCAAGGGACACAGTTGAATGAGAGGTAATAATAAATTAAATAAATAAACATGGGAGCAGAGGCTACCCAGTGATGTGACCCCCCCCCCCCCCCCCCACCCCCCCCCCCCCCCCCCCCCATGTCTACCTCTCACGAATGACAAACATGAGGGTGGGGTTACCTGGTAATGTCACCAGGTAACTACCTCCCCTATGTTTACCTGTCATTCAGTTGTGTTCCTGGAAGGGGACAGTCATATTTTGCAGGAAATTTTTTTATTTATTATTTTGGGTCGGTTCTTTTCTGGTGGGTTTTTAATAAAGGACAAAAAAAAAGTTTTCTTTCACAATTATCTTTTTTTTTTTAAGCTGACAGCTAATGAGTCATTGGTTGTTTAAAAGATGCAGCGGCCAGCTTGCCGGCCCACTCCTGAACAACCAGCTCTTTTTCACACAGAATTCGGAGCAGTCGATTATATTTTTGACCGATTTAGAATCATTTTAAACATTTTGGAATTCGTTAGACAATGACGAAATGAATCAATTGAAATTAAATAACACAACAAATCTATATGAAACTAAATGAATTTTTCCGTTCTGCACATGTCTAGTTAGCAACCTTCAGCTAGTCTGCTGCTGTAAACTTAATGACTGTGAAGCACCTTTCCTGCAGAAACTTCCACAATTTTTATTTTTCTGCATTGATTTCCTGTAACATTTACATATATTTATGAATGTTGTAAGAATTCTTTGCCATAAACTCGTCAGTTGTTTAGTTATTTTAAATTGTTGGAGGTGTGGGCAATTGAGGTATAATAAACAAAAAAAAAAAAACACAGGTCATGTAGGGGGATTACATAGGATGCCTATGATGAATAGCAAGCACATTTCAGTCAAATGCTCAGCAGTGGCGGACTGCAGAGTTTTCTCAGCATGCAGGGAAATATCTGTAAAATCTTTTTGGTGCAGCATTGACCACAGTAAAGTTGGGCATATACAAGTAGAATTTTGTTAATCATTGATTTTCTAATCATTAGTGGTTCAAATCAAAGTGAACATTGTAGAAATCAAACCTTTCTCTTTTTCAACTGCAGTGACTAATAAATATTTGGCAGGGTGAAAAAATTTTTGTTTAAACAAAATTCTAACTGTATGTGGTGTTCATTCAGGAAAGTCCATTTGAAGTACTTTTAAATGGCATTTGTCAAGCCATTAAATGTACTGAGATTTTTCATATAAATGTCCATACGAACGTTTGTCCAAAAATGTGCTAGTATATGGCCAGTGCTACTGGTGGTAGGAAACGCGTGTGTGTGTGTGATTGTGTGTGTGATTGTGTGTGTGAAATTCCTCTTCCCCAATGAACAGACTGCATTTAAAGCACCCCCAAAGCGGATAATGCCTGAAGGTGCTCATTGGATGTTGGGCCTCTGTGGCTAAGCTGGAAAAGTCTCAAATGTGGCATCACCATACTTGGGAGGAGTAGCAGAATGTGTTTTTGGGTGTAGCTGCAAGTATGCCAATGCCAT